AAAGTTGGGGGAGATGTCCAGAAGGAATTTTTTTTTTCTTTGTTTCACACTACTTTTGCAGCATGGATTTGACAAGGTTGAAAAATGGATTTCCTCATTCAATTCCCATTTCGGTTGTCAGCATGAAAGAGGGAAAATTAAATGCTTTTGGCATGCATGTGAAGGGTTGACAATTTCTTTCTTTCTCTTCCATTTTGGCAGCACCTCACAAGTATAAAAGGAGCAATATTCATTGTTCAAACACACCACAAAAATTTCCACATTCTTTTCAGCTAAGGCAGTGGACAAAGAAAGAAGAAATTCACTTTCTTCTTCTTCTTTCTTCACGGCAGTACATAGCGCAGCGGAAGGAGCAACTTCTATTTCTTCTTCATTTTGTGCTACTTTGTCGTGGGTTTGCCTAGATCTTTTGGGTACTTTCTTTATCAAATATTTTGTAGAGGTCAGTTATTTGTTCCAAGCATCTTTTTGGATATTCTCGTAATATTTGTATTCTATTCACCTTACTCGTGGTGGTTGAATATTTTGAGTACGAGATATTATTCATTTTTAGGCCTGTGAACGTGATAGAATGTATTTGGCCTAGAGTTGTTGTATTTGATATTTTTAGGGTGTTTGGCTCGGGTGGTAGCCAGCAACTTTGTACCCAAGATTTGTTATAGTGGAATATTGTGTTGGTGGTGGTCCTTGGTTATTTTCCCCGTGATTTTGGTGATTTTGGAGTTTTCCACGTAAATCTTGTGTCCTTTGTGTCTATTATTTATTTTAGCTATTTTGTACCATCTCGTATTTGCGCTCTTGTTGGTCCTGTGATTTTATTTATCACAGGTAGTGGGATTTTTCCCAACAGTTCTAACTTGCTTGGCAGATTTCCCGTCGCCCCTCTTAGATTTTTGCACTACCGATGGAAACCCACACTCCGGCGGTAACACATTTGTTTCGCACACTGGTGGTTCTTCCATGAGGTTGGCAACATTCCTTGAGGCAGTTCATGGCGGCGATTGACAAAATCCAGCGCTCCCCGATCGCTTCGTACGTTTATGTTGATCCCAGTTTCCCTCTCGTTTTTATGGTGCGGCTGTATGTATTGTCATTCCTGCAGATTAAAACGTACATGGGGAAGAGGAAGATACAAAGGTGAGAATTTTACCTGATTGAGAAGTAGATTGCGAGTTGTTCTTCTTTGGTTCTGTTTCGGTGGGTATGAAGTGGAGGGGTTTTGGTCCTATTTATAGTGTATCATAAGAGGGTATCACAATTAGAATTGAATTGAAACTTCAGTCCTATTAAGAGTGTGATTGAGCTTGTGTGGTGGTGGGATTCGTATGCTGCTAGAGTTCAGCATGACATAAATTTGAGACTGATTCACTTATATTTTTGAATGGTCATCAGTGATTCAGTGTTGAAGAGGAATTTGATTGTTGATGACTTGATGGGCTTAGAATTTTGAATGGGTCAATGAATGTTGTATAAACTTAATATTCAACATGGCAAAATCTTCATACCTTTGGGCTCATGGAATCGCACTACGACTTATACCTTGCAATCGTTATGCGTTGGACCCGTGTCCAGCTTGCAGGCTGGACACGGATAACAGTGCCGTTAGGCACTGTTAGTCTGTTATCTTTTTTTTTTTTTTTTTTTTTTTTTTTTTTTTTTTTTTTTTAATTTCAGACTGCTTCGTTATAGGGGTATATGTTCATAATTTTATTACTATATGTTAATAACTATACATTCATAACTCCATAATTGTACATTCATAACTCTATAACTGTACATTCATAACTTCATAACTGTACATTCATAACTCCATAATTGTACATTCATAATTTTCGAAGCTCTATGTTCACAATTTTAGAGCTCTATGTTCATAATTTTATCACTATATGTTTATAATTGTAAGTTCATAATGTCAGAGCTATTTGTTCATAATTCGATCAATAACTGTACATTCATAATTCGATCAATAACTGTACATTCATAACTCCATAACTGTACATTCACAATCTTCGAAGCTCTATATTCACAATTTTAAAGCTCCATGGTCATATTTTTATCACTATAAATGTTCATAATTGTAAGTTCATAATGTTAGAGCTTTGTGTTCATAATTTCATAATTGCATAATTGTACATTCATAACGACATAACTGTACATTCATAACGGCATAACTGTACATTCATAATCCAAAAAAAAAAAATAACGGCAAAACACGCGTGATTTTTTTTTTTTAAACTAAATGACGCGTTTTTTTTAAAAACGACGTGGTTTTGGGCCCGTGTCCACAATTCATTGAGCACATCATAACTATCCTACAACCAACTACATCTTTAATTAATTTTGGGCTCAATGAATATTATGCATGTGTTTTAGGCTCATGAAATTAAGTCATTAAGATGTGCTTTGATGAATTTAAAGGATCGTTTGTTAAGTTTCGAGATTCCCTCGCTCCAAGTATTACAGGCAGCATGTTCCGGCTAGTCTCGAGGAAACAATTTGTAGACACCGAAAATTTAAACCCGACAAATGGGTCGATAAAATTATTATTGGGCTCGATGTTGAGATTGATTATTGGACCAATTTAATTAATTGAGTCATAATAATTGAATTAATTTAACTAGTCCATGTAAATTTGATTTAGGCTATTGAATTAATTAATTAATTGGTCCAAGTCTATTTCATATTTGAATTATAATTATACTCCCTCTGTCCCATTTTATTTGTCTTACTTTCCTTTTTAGTTTGTCCCATAATGTTGTTCACTTTTCAAAATTAAACACCACTATCTTTCTACTTTTTCAAATTTGCCCTTATGTGTATTTCATCGCAAATTATATCGTGCACCGCGATGCATGATCGATCATGCACCGCGCATCAAAATGACATCGTTTTGTTTAATGAAAAGAAACAGAATCTTCACCAAAAATTACTCTGTTCTTCAATTTCATTTTGTATACACTGCAGTTATTCAATTCAACACAACTACAGTTTCATTTCAATATAACTACAGTTTCATTCAATATTTATACACTCAAATATGTGAAAATGTTATTTAATTTTACTAGTAAGTTTCCCATGCGATGTACGGTCATTAAATATGGCCTCTTAATAATTTAAGATTATCGTATAATCTTTTTATTCTATGTAATAGCAAAATGTTTTTTTTTTTTTAATAATTCAACATTTGAATCGGAAACACTTAATCACAACTCAAATATGTTATACCTCCAAATTCATATGTAAGTCTGACAACCTAGTAGTTGCACCGCTGCGATTCTCAGACATATGATACAATAGTAAGATTAACAGTACTGATAAAAAAAAAACTATAATAGTATATGAATTAATTATTGAAAAACGAAGAACATTGTAATTGTATTACACATTATTGAAAACTTCTTTGTATACGACATTTTTAGCCGTACTTACAGATGGTACATTATTCCCATATCAAAATTTTTAATCTCCTAGGATTACTAACTCTTGAGACTGCAAATGATACACCATAACTAAAGATTGACTTTCTAAAAAACAAATCCACGTGTGATAATGTTTACCATTAACTTTTATTTATTGTCGTGGCATATGATAGCATCAAAATGAATTTCTTTCTTTGGAACTTGAAACAAAAATCTTGAATTAAAAGGTGTTAACGACATTCGAAGAATTAAAACTTTTGTTCCTACACTCGTTCCACACATGATTTGAGCTTCCAAAACATGATCAGTCAACTTTGTAACAATAAACCTTGTATCATTAAAGTATGTTAATATTCTCACAATAACATATTAATATTTTCAGAATATTATATAATGTTAAATATATCATTATATAATTATATATAAGATAAGATATAATAATAATTGAATAAGATTGTGAATTATATATATATATATATATATAGTCAGGCCTACTATTTAGATTATATAATTTGTTACGCCCCAAAAATGAAAATTGATATCAAACAATATTTCAAGTCCAATGTAGTGTACTATTCATGACCCAAAATCCGACACAATAATCCTGATATATAAACCTATCTAACCTTAGAACTTTCCAAAGCAACCCGACCCTTCATATTCTCTCTCGATAGTGGCAATATGCGAATCTCTGATCTACTCAGTCCAACACTTGCTTCTACCCTAATTTCTTCCACTAAAATTTTCATTTTGGATTTATGATAGATTATATCACGATTTTGTATCATTAATGGCGATAATAATCACGATACAGAGTCTCGATAAAAAATAACAGATCTGAATTTTGACCTGGTAGATTTGAGATTTACAATTTCAATTCATTGAGCAATGAATTCACGGATCTACATGCAAGTTCAGAGCATATATATTTCAGTGCAGGCAAATCCTAGAATTATGACATTTTCTTATTGCAAAGTTTACTCTTTTTTTTTTTCTTTTTTTTTTTACTTATTCAATTTACAGTTTCACTATTAATCTCAGTCATTTTCTTTTTTGATAAGACTATTAATCTTAGTCATAAAATTTTGCTTTGTGCCAAAAAAATTCAAATTATTATTTTTAAGCCTAAACAATTAGTTTAGAAATATTTGTTTCAAAGGAAAAATTGTTTAATTGTAGTGTAGTCATATTAATTTTTTTTTCAAAATAATAAGCCTACACAAAATTTTAATTTTTTTTTTAAACTTTAATTATTTTAGAAGTAAAAAAGGTTTAAGTGTGTTATGACTCTACTTGCTAGTATTGGATTCTATACTTGAATGAGTTTATGAATACTGAGTTTAAGTGTTATTCTTTAATTTATTTGAGTAGAATAGAATTCATTACTTGAAAAGTTTGTGTTGATGCTAAGTGTTATGCTTTAATTTATTTCAGTACAATAGAATCCCTTGAACAATTGTGTAGTTGTTAAGTGTAGAATAAATTTACAGAATAGCTTGAAACTACAAAATTATTCATGTAATGTTTTACAAAAGGTGGAAGTTAGACCAAAAAAAAAAAGATCCAATTCTTCAATTCTCCTTAGGTTGTCATGTCTTGAATCTTCAATCCAGCCCTAGCCCAGGTTGTCATGTAAGGCTGCAATCCTTTCTGTAACACATAGAAATAGAAAACAAAAGAATTTAATAGAAAAAAGATAATAGATTAGGTTAGAAACAAAGTTAAACATTAGTGATGCATTTGATACTACTGCCAAGTGTATTAAACTTACCTCTTCGTCATGAAAGAGGCATTCTTTGCTCTTCCTTGTCGCTGCTCCTCCACGTAATTCAGGGGCTTTATAAGTTCTCACCAAACAATCAAGCGGCCTTTATTGTTAGTGATTGTAATCTTTTCAGATCGCCAGAGGCCTTAGCTTGTCTTCGGCTTTAACGTTTAGGATGCTGTTAGCATCAACCTCAAATGTAACTTCAATTTGAGGTGTTCCTCTGTTCCAGCAGATTACAATTTCAGTTGAAAGAGAGAATGGAAAGGCAGCTCTTATTAATTATATATTGGGGTGGAAGATCAGAGCTATTCCAGTTAGATCAAATTTAATTACCAAGCAACCCGTTGTCCTTTGTGAGACCCCTTTCACCTTCAAAGACCTGCACAATGCACAAATTCATGTTGGATCAATTGCGACTCTAGAAAAGAAGTAGATAGTAAAAACATGGCAGGATGTGGAGAAAGGAAGATGTATGTTGGAAAATTAGCTTAAAATGACATAAAAATGGCATATTAAGTAGCTACTTTGTGGTACAATTATCAGTGGGGTCCACTTCTGATTTGGGTCGGGTCAAAGTGGATTCGTGTTCTTCGTAGTGAGACGAAGAGATTGATATATTGTACGCTCAAAACGGATAATGGGTGAATGAGATATTGATTCTCAAAGTAGACCCATTTGAATTTGGAAATGAAGGAAAAATGTAGGACTTTGTCCCACATTGGTTTGGAAACAAGATTTGCCCCCCCTTATATACATGAGCTCATTTCAAGCTTGTAGAATTGTATAGCATAGAGGCTCTCTCGCGCGCGGGGCGGGGGGGGGGGGGGGGGTGCAAATCAAAATCCAACTAGAAGAGCTCAAAAGGCTTGAATCAAGCCCGAGCTCGCGTGCGCCGGCACCTGCGGGCTAAGCCATCTATTATAGTCACTTGGTTCGGCCAAAACCGAACCGAGAGCACCTACTCTCGTGTGTAGCATGAGAGGTTGTGGTGCACCGAGAGCAAAACTCTCGTGCAACGGTGAATACGAGAGTTGTACTTTCGTGTTGTGACACAACACGAGAGTGGGTACTCTCGTGCACCCCAACGGTCAGAAGATTAAACTCATCTGTTACGGAATTAATACTGTTTAATTCCAACTCTTAATCTCAGAGTTTAATCCTACTTAGTGGTGACCGTTACAGGTGTTACACAATTGGTTTTAATACCAATTAAATGCCATGTTCAAGGCTATCCCTTCCAACGAGCCCTATATAAAGAAGAGGTGGGGCAGAAGCATTTTACACACAGTGAAAACCAAAAGGAATTCCAGTAGTTTTTCCAGCTTCAAAACCTCTGCCTCTACTCTCTTCTTTAGCCATCTGTGTTCCAGCCTTGCTTTGTTCGAAGGGTTCCTTGTTTAGGTGCTTAAACAAGGAATCGTAACACGTTTTATCCTGGGAAACCTAGGCTACAACGCTCCTAGCACTTGTGGGAGGTAGCAAATAAGGTTTTAAGGAAAAGAACCTTGTGTTCGAACTCGTGTTTCACCCTATACCCAAATACTCAACCTTTTCCTTCCCAGTTTTCTGTTTCCCATATAATATTAATCTTTCCGTAGGATTATTATTATTTTTGGGATTTTTCACCTTTTTACCCAACAAATGCTTCCTTACACACGAATGCCTCGGCCATGAGTGGTGAAAAACAAACCGGGAGAGGGGCACTGAATGCCGCTACATATTCTCCATTTGCATCGAGGAGCACCGCCCCTACCGTTTCCATGCCCGTGTCGTGGAGGTAGCCGACGTCGACTTGGCAATTTCTGGGCAGTGGTACCGCTGTGATGGGAGGCGCGGCGGTTATCTGTTCATGCGGCGGTGGTGGTGGTTCCCCAATAGCTCCAGGGTGGTCGGCTAATGGCAGTGGCGTGGTACTGGCGGTGGTCCGTGCATTGCACCATGCATGCATTGTTGCGGCCGCCATGGCTAATAACTTCCTTGGTCGCAGCAGGACAGCATCCCACGCTGCTCCGTTCCGTGCTCTCCAAATATGGTATAAAATTGCTGTTGCATGTAATATTCCATTAGAGTTTAGAACATTCAGAAGATTAGAAAACCAAATGTGAAAAACATTGGTCACAATATTGGGGATTGGAAGGTTAGATTGTTTCCATATGGCCTTTGCAAAGTCACATAACACCAAAGCATGCATAGTGTCCTCTTGAGAGATTCCACACATGGCACAATTTGGATCCACATCCACCCTCTTTATAATCAAATTTGTAGTGGTTGGGAGGATATCACTAATTGCTCTACATAGAAACGTTTACCATTTGGGTGAGATTTTGAGGCTCCACAGGGTGAGCCATTTACTAAATGCCCCATCATTGTGCTCATAATCTCCAATAATGCGCCTATACCCACTCTTAACTGAGTAAATTCCTTTGAGGTCTCCATGCCAATACCAGGAATCATCATTTTCTGGGGAAATAGGTATCTTTTTAATATTTTTCACATCTGTAGGTTGGAATAAATTAGTGAGGAATGATCCCACGTACCAGTATCCTGGTCAATTAAGCCCTCAACTTTCGCCCCTGCCAATTGCATAGGCATCTCTATCTGTACCATAGGTTCCTGGTCATTCTGTATCCACTAATGTGCCCATATAAGTGTGGTCTTACCATTTCCAATCATGCGCCTGAACCCACTAAAAATTAGGATCTTTGCTACCATAATACTTCGCTAGCAAAAACTGGGGTTGTTGCCTATTTCTGCCTAAAAAAAAGAACCCTTGGGATAATATCTAGCATTATAAATGGAAGCCACCAAGGATTCTGATTTGGTAAGAAGCGGGCCACGCCTGTTTCCCTTGCATAGCTAAATTAAATGCCCGGAGGTCCTTAAAGCCCAGACCACCATGTTTCTTTGGGATACATAATTTGTCACATGCTTTCCAGTGTATTCCCCAATCATTATCAGTCCCCCACCAATAGCGGTTTATAACTCTCTCAATAGTCGTACACACAGACATAGGTAGCAAAAAAAAAAAAAAAAAACACTCATTGAAAAAGTAGGCATAGATTGTGCTACACTTTTCAACAAGATTTCCTTGCCAGCTTGTGATAACATTTTCTTATTCCATGATCCAATCCTGTACTTGATTTTGTCCTCAATATATGAGAAAACCGCTTTCTTATTCCTTCCAACAAACGAGGGGAGTCCCAAGTATTCCCCAAAGTTAGGAGCCTGAACTACTCCAAAGTTTTGTGTCACTTCATCTCTGTCAAACTCACTAGTATTCTTACTGTAGCATATACTAGACTTGTGATAATTAACTACCTATCTAGACAAATTCTCATATACAGATAAGCAATTTTTAATTTCAGTGGCTTCTTGGGCATTGGCTTTGAAAAATAACAGACTATCATCATCAGAAAACAAATGAGAAACAGGGGGCACCTCTAGCGACCCTGCAACCATGAATAGAACCCCTAGCCTGTGCCTGTTTATAAAGAAAGACCTTCCACACAGATAATGAAAAGATAAGGGGACAAAGGATCTCCTGTCTCAAACCACGAGTGGGTGTAACCGTGTCACCGCGTGAGCCATTGACCAGAAAATTGTAGGACACCTTGGTTATGCATAACATAATTAATTCCACCCATCTATTATCAAATCCCAATGCTAGGAGCATGTTGCGCAGGAAAGACCGTTCCATTCTGTCATAGGCTTTTGCCATATCTAATTTGAGAGCACTCCACCCCACAACCCCACACTACTTCCTGTTCAAATAATGACCGACCTCCGCAGCTACTAAAATATTATCCGTAATAAGTCTATCTGGTATAAAGGCACTCTGCGAAGCCGATATGATTTCCTCCATTATCGATTTCATTCGGTTAGTCATTACCTTCGCCATGATCCTATAAACCACATTACTGAGGGCTATGGGCCTAAGATCAGACACTAATTCAGGAACACTCTTCTTTGGTATTAAAACCACATCTGTATTATTTAGTCCAGGTGGGAAATTTCGATACTGTAGGCATCCAATTATAAAACTCGAGACATCCCCCCTACCACATCCCAAAATTGTTGATAGAAGTCCGGATTCATTCCATCCAGGCCCGGCGCCTTATCCGGGAACATTGCAAATAGTGCAGTTTTAACTTCCTCACACTCAAAAGGACGAAGTAACGCCTCATTGTGTTCCTGAGTTACACGTGGAGCTATCCCCTCTAAAAAATTCACACCATCCCCCGGATGCTCAGAGCAGAAAATATGATCAAAGTAATCCATAATAATACCCCTCATGGCTTCCCCTTCCACCCAATCCCCATTATTATTCATAAGTCTAGATAAAGTATTCTTCTTTTTACGGTGAGAGCCATACCTG